GCTTGCTTCTCTGCAGCTCCTGGCCTGTGGAACAGCTTTCTTCTGAAAATGTGGAAGAAAGCCTGTGGAACATGTGTGAGGATTGGTGAAGTGTCTGTGCTATGGCTTCCTCACCACAGTCAAAATTTATCTCTGCTCTCTGGATAGGCTCACATCCCCTCCCCAGAATTATCAGCATTGTGGGGATACACAGAAAAGCTGCCACTTTATCTGCCCCTAGCAATTGTAATATCTTGTGGAGACTATGCCAGGCTTAGTCATCTGCCCTTGCTTAACTTGCCCAACTTAGTCCTTGCTCTGAGACACCATCAGCTGTCACTTAATACACACAATTTATTCCTTGCTATGCTTGGTCATTTCTAATCTTCCTATTCTTCCTGCCCAGTCAACCCTGAAGTGGAGTTTCTTTCCAGTGCCTCATCCCCTTTTCTTTGGAGTAATTTATTTTATCTTGTGTCCCCATCTCAACAGGCTTTGTCCCAGGTTACTATTGCTCTGGTTTAGAGTTCAACTTTTTCCCCTTTGTATTTAAATCAGACTGCTGCTGGTCTAATACACCCTGAATGCCTGCTAGGGGAGCTGGGGACTTGGGTGTCTTCTCCTGGATGGGACCTCCCAGGAGATGGTGTGTACATAGCCTGGGCAAGCCCAAGAGCTGTGGTGCTTGCAGTTTGAAATGGAATTTAGCTCTTAATGTTTATAATGAAAATGTACTGACTGCACTTTTCCAAGTGTTGTTAAATTTAGGATTTTGAGGGAATAGAATGTGCACAACTCACTTCACCCTTCTGTCAAATTCTGTGTCTGCTGAAGTTTCAGGGCTGTGGGAGTACTTCAGACAAAGGTTTTTCAGAAGGTGGCACAGGTAATGTAATCTTTCCTAGGTCCTGCAAATGGTGCCACTGTCTTGCATCCAGTAATAAAGCTGAGAGACATCTAGCAGGAGAAATTTCAATGCTCACAGTTTGGCAACGTTATGCTTCATGATTTTATCACTGGAAAAAATTAAAGAACATTTCACTGCTTCCCTCAAACTTAGAAATATAAGCCTTGTAGAAAATGAGGCTTTGGTTTGACATGGTGCAGCCTTCAAAAACTGATGCTGGTTGTGCCCTACCACGCACTTCCCTGTCCACTGTCTCAAAACCCCTGTGCTGGTTGTTACCAAACACTTAGCACTTTGCTATCTGCTCTGTTCTTACAAGGTAACACTCTTGACTTTTGTTTTTGCTTTTTATTTGGTGCCGCTTTCTCTCCCCAAGAACTGAAGCTGATTGCTATGTGACACGAGAGTGAAGCCACTCGAATACCAAGCTGATGTCCCAAGGGGTGTGGAGGGTATCCCCCTGCTCCCACTCAGGAGCTCTCGGTGCAGACATGTCACCCACAAGGGATAGCCTGGCAGAAAACTCTCTTCTGTTTGGGCAGAGGAGTAGGTTTTTTCTGGTTGTGACCCCTTGAGCCAGCTCCCTGTAGGGTCTGAAGAGGACTCATTGGTCAGGTGCACCAGGGGAGCAGGGAGAGCAGAGGGATGGAGGGAGGATGCAGGAGAAGAGGTGGCAGCAGTGACCTCTCAGACCCAGGTAGCTGGAAAGGTTGTTTTGGTGCTTTGTTTTTCTTTTTTCAATTCATGAAAAACACATTTTGCTTTTTCCCAGTCTTCGTAAGCATACCTGCTACAACCTCTTAAAAGTTATCCCTGAGACTGAGTACTGGGAAGTGAATTGCATCAGGTCCTGCCTACTTGAAAATACTTTGCTTATCCTAGGAGCTTTTAAGCTATTTTCTTATAGAGACGAGTGTTCTTATGAAGACATTCTTGTGGGTTTGACCTCTGTTAATTGTGGTAGCTCGCTTGGTTTCTCTTTTTTAAGAAAAGTAACCATTGAAGAAGCCAAAGAGGCATGGCTACGTTGGAGTTGTGACCTGTTTTTAGTGGTCTGCACTGAACAGTGGGTCTGTCATTTTATCTGTAGCAGGAATTGCTTATAGCATTGGAAGAGAAAACAGCCAAAACAGTTGATACCCCATTTTTTAGCCCTCCACCAAGGGATTGGGTAGGTGTCTCGTTCAGCTCAGTAGGATGCTTTCCTTTTATGTCTTTTTCTGGATATATCAGTTTGTGATTTTACCTGTCTCATTGCCCCATGGTTTTTGTGATCCTTTCAGAATCATCAATTTTTTTATTGTACTCAAATTTTGTGTTGATGAGAAGTTATTAGTCTCCATGCTTCCTGCCTTTCCCTGTCATTGGGATACTTTGTGCTGGTGTCCTCTGGCTTGCTGCTGCCTAGCAGGTCCCACTGCCTGTGTCAGGAGATTCTGCATGCTGACTGATCAAACAATGTGAATAAGGATAAATAATACAAAATTGTACAAACAGTGCAAATGATGAATAGAGTGCTATAGCAGTAGTAAGCTGTGGAAAGCAAGAGTGTTTTGGGTTTTCTACTAAAGGGTTATTGATTCTGCTTATTGCTGATTGTGGACTTTTGAAGGGAAGTCTGGTGTCAGAAAGCACTATGAAAAATATTGGTGATGGGAGAGAGAAACTGTGAGTCACTTGGGCTCTCTAATACAAAGAAAAAGGCACTAGAAAACAGGGAAGAGAGAGCATACCACTTCACTCCTGCATCTTATCACTTAGGGAGTTTGTAAAACAGGAAGGGGAAGGGAGCACTTGCCGAGTGACGTGTAACATCTGGCCAGAAGTTAAACATTCCCCAGGGTTGGCTGAAATTGCCTTTCAGTAACTTCACTGAGCTCTTTTAAACTCTTTTGAAATATTTTGCTCCAGATCTCCCTCATTTTTTTTTGTATGTGTTCTACAAAACTGTCTTGTAGGGCTCTCTCTGCCACTGGGCATTTTCCCAGAAGCCAGGCAGTGGTCCTGCACTGGTGGCACCAACAAGGGTGTGTTGTTTGTAACACCTCCCAAGGCACACTGCATGCAGCCAAAGGATGCTGTTTATGTTCTCTCACTACCAAACCTGAATATTTGAAGTTCACAGGAGAAAGTTGTGTTTAACCACAAAAAGCAGGGGCAAAATACCATCGTTTGTGTCTTGCAAACAAGTTGAGACAAAAAGGTTTGATGTGTAGTCCAAACCTAAGTTTCTCTTCTGATGAAGAGTTCTGCTGCAAATCCCTGGATTTTAAATCTTTAGTATTTCCCCTCCTTCTCACACCTGGTTTTGAGATTCCCTTTTATCTTTAATTGTATCCCTTTAGCCTAGTCTTCCCACGCCCTGAATTGTTCGCTCTTCGCCCCTCCTTCCTTGTCCCTTATAGTTCTCAGGGTGGAAAAACACTTACTTAAAAAAAAAAGTGTGAAATGTATTTCTCCCTGTGGAATAGCTGTAATCTTAATTTAATCCAATTACATTGGCTAAACATATTAGCTGGATGCTTTTGTTAACAGTTGACCTTTTTAAAATCTGTGTCCTTGGATTACAGAGCCATGTCTCAGGGGGAGGAGCAGAGGTGTTTTGTGCTGTTGGAAGCTGCTGCTGGGCTGCATGGAGCTCGATGCCCGTGTTGCTTAGAAGGATGCAGTTAGTTCATTTTTGACCCTTTGCACAAAATATAGAAAAGAGTGGCTTGAGCATTCTGCATGGGCTGTTGCACTGTGGGCTTATACAAGCTCCATGTGTTTTAACTCGTCTTTTAATAAGTTTGCAGAGTCCAGTACAAAGATGTTAGTTAGCTATCCATAAATATGTAGCTCTACATAAATAAGTGCATATAAATTTATTCAGAGCCTTCTGTTGGCCACAGACCCAAAGTAAAATGTGTAAATGAAATCCAGAAGACAGAAATATCTGTCCCCAACTGCACAGCAGAATGCAGTTGTATTCAATTCAATGCTGTATAATTCTTTTATCTTGGTTCACTGAGGAGCAGAATATGATCCAACGCTTTGGGCCAAGTCTAAAGAACAAGCAAATACAGTATTTTGAATTATTCTACCTAATAGAATAAACATCATTTGGCTACGCTTCACTAGATGTAAAACTTTTTTCTTCATGCTCCTGTCTCCCCCCAGGTAATGTTCTTTTTTTTATTGCTAGGATCACAAGTGTCCCCAGATTTAATTTCAGTAACCTGAGTAGAATGACAGGGTCTGGAATTGTTTCCAAAGATAGTAGATTGTGTTTCTGTCTAGGAACAAAATTCATATTGGTGGTGGTTTTCATTGCAGTTTGTCTCTGTGCAGCATAGTTTAACAGGGTTGGTTTTTTTAATTATTCAAGATGTACGCAGCTTTCCTTTGAGCTGAATGCAACATTTAGCTGATTTTCCAGGCATCATCTTTCTAGTACTACTTGTGTTCCACCTTGCTTTTATGTAGGCAGCTTTAATGCAAACATGCTAGTTAATGTGAAGTAAATGTAGTTGTTGTGCTTTCAAAGGGCACAAAATTTTTTGAGAAGCAGTGAACAATTGCCCAACGCTGCTATTGATGTCGTGCCTCATATTTCACTGATGGGAAGTTTAGAGTAGTGGAAGTTCCTGGTCCTCCCAATGCCATCCTTTCAAAAGGTGAAGGAAAAACATACCTTGCATAAACACTACCTGTGCACCAGCTTATATGGATATAATGTATTTTTCTGAAGAGATGCAGCTTTGGGGGCACATATGTGCATGTGCTTGGAGATTCTGTTTTTCTGAAGTGAAATGTTCTCAACTCAAGTGAGAACATTGAGAATGTTGAGGGTGGAAATCTCTCATATGTATTTAAGGAGGTCTAGACTAGACTGAAGTAGATCATCCAACTTTCACTTAGCTTTTCAAATAAAAAAGGCTGAATTCTCAAATAAAAATCCCATCCAACCTAGTCTTGGAGAATGACATTTAAGTCCACCTTAGGATCCCTTGTGATGAACCTGTACTGATACCTTGCTGTGAAAAGCTCACTGCTGTCTACGTTTCCTGTAGCTTCAATATCGTGTGTGATAAAATAAAATACATTTCTTAATTATCCATTAATTATTTAACAGGCAAAACGAAGGCTGGAGCTTGGAGAAAGTGGCCACCAGTATCTTGCTGAAGGACTAAAGACTCCCAAGGGGAAAGGAAGAGCTGCAACAAGAAGTCCAGATAGTCCAAAAAGTAAGGGAACTTGTAACATGCTGTGTGGCACAGGGATTTTTATTTCTGAGTGGACCAGTACAATGTGCTGCATTACCTAGCTAGAAGAGTGTGTTTATTACTGTCCTCACCTGGATGTGAATGCAACATACTGAACTCCCACACCAGGCACCAGACAAGAGGTTTGCAGCATGAGTGGGTTGGTGCAGAGGTGCTGAGAGGCTGCAGAAGCTCCTGGCTCCTAAGTCTGTCCAGCTTGCTGGGCAGCCTCCAGCCTCTCCATCCAGGACCACTTCTTCAGCCAAGGACGTGAAGCTGGGGATGATTAGGAGAGGTAGATGCTGAGGAATGGAGGTACTAGGACACAACACAGTTATTAGGCAAGGCTAATCAGGGCAGCCTCCTTCTTCCCTGCTGAAGTTACAGCAGCTGATTGGCAGAGCTTCTTCCCCCAGGCAGGGATTTGCAAAGAGAGGTAGTTGTGCCTCAGCAGCTAAGTGCTTTCTGTGGGCTCTGAGCTGCCTTCTCTCCCTGCAATTACTACTAGATTATGACTAGTAATCTCCTAGATTATTACTGCAACTGCTTATTTGATGCAAGTATTAATTTTTGCACATCTGTATTGCCTCAGGCAGTAGGTTCCTTCCAACAGGAGCTGGGGTGTGTAGCCTTGTCATCTTGTTTGGGGGATTCCAGCAGGAGAATTAGGCTTGCAGAAGGAGGTGAATGGGGAAAGGGAGGACTAGGGCAGCAGTGGTAGTGATGAGGGTGCAGGAGGTGTGAAGGAATACTCACTTGTCCCTCCTCACAAGTCTGAAGTGCTTGCTTCTATTGAGGCAGATAGGAGAAGTGAAATCAGCTGAAGATAGGAACTTAAAGCAGTCAAGTTAAACAACCACAGTTCTTTGAATTGAACTAATCTTCATGAAGATGAATGAAGTCCATTTTAAACGGAAGGGTGTTCTCACACAAGTTCAGTGCTGTGCAGAGCAGAGGATGCTGCTGCAGTGGTGGCAAGGCTGTACAGAGAACTTGGTGTGTCACCAGGAGCAGATGCCATTTCAGGAGGAGGTCAAGTGTCCTCTGATCTTATTCTTTTTCAAACCCCAGAGGAAAACCAGCCCAACAAACAGAAACCACCCTGCTCTAAATTGACAAAGTTGTTGAAGCGATAGGAATATTTTTCCCAGAGCAGACAAAGCCTGTGTCTGTCACAGAATGAGATGCAGCTGGATGGTTCTCTTTGCAAACAGGCAGTGACTGGGTTTTCATTGAAAAGCCATCACATTCTTCAAAATATTTCAGGGTTGTCTAAAGGTTTGCTTTCAGGTGGGATTTCAGTTTTGACTGACCTCTGCAAGTAAATGTGGGTCCTTGTAGTGGTTTAACCCTGGCTGAGCAAGTGATGCCTACCAAGTCACTCTATTCACCCTCCCCCTCCTCTGCAGAGCAAAAGGGGAAAGAAAAATAAGATAGAGACAGAAGCCTTGTGGGTAAAAACAAGGGCAGTTTAATCAGAGTGCAAAAGCCAAGCAATGCCACGTGTGGATGCAAAGGAAAAAAAAAAGCAGAGACTTATTCTCTACTCCCCCTGCCCAGGCCATGTCTGGCCCCTTCCTGGGAAGCAGGGCTCCAAAACACGTAGTGGTTGCTCTGGAGGTCTGAGGAGGAGACACACACTCCACTCCCCTACTTTGTCCTAGCTTTATAGTTGAGCTGACATCATATGGTCTGGAATATCCCTTTGGTCAGTTCAGATCAGCTGTTCTGGTTAGGTTCCCCTCAATCTCCTGCCCCCCTGTTCCACTAGGGGGGACTGTTAGAAAGAGCCTTGGTACTGTGTGAGCCCTGCTCAGTGGCAGTCACAACATGGGTGTTACCAGCACCCTTCTAACCCCCAACACTACAGCTCTGCACCAGGAGGCTGCAATGGGAACATCAGCTCAGCCAGACCCCATACAGTCTGAACCTGGAAAACAACCACCAGATCAGCCTGAGCTCCACCCTGCACAATACTTGAAGCAAATTAAGAGTTTGAGATGGACCAGCCCAGCAGACTTCTCATAATGGCTGGCTCATTTCCCTTGACACAAAGGCCTTGAACATTTAGAATTAGAAATTATTCTGACATAAGTATTTAAACTCTTAAAAGTGCATCTATGAAGTATATAGGTGCTGGTTTTGTGCAGGAAAAGGGCTTGGATCTTACTGGACAACTCACTGTTTGCTTGCTTCTAGCTTAGAAGTGGATGCTCTTGGCCAGCTTGAGCATTGTTTGGTTATGGAGAAATAATGGTTATAAATTGTATCTCGTGTCAGTCACCTCTAATTCTCTTGAGCTTTTTTGTTAGCTGTGGAGTCTGGCACTGGTGGAATCTGTCATTGTGTTCACCCACTGAAGTACACCTAAGTCCTGCTTAATTGCATGTGAAACATTTATCTTACAAGAGGGGAAAATCAAACCCTGATGGAAGCTGGCTATCAGCCTGATGAAGGAGAGTCATAGGGGAATTTTTGGTATTGGTGCCAGGATAAATAGATACTAAAAATACTACTAAGAATTCACATAATGAAAGCCTAAGTAGGATGTTGCTATATGTATCCAACTAATGGAAATATTTGCATTTAGAAAAGTGTATGTATTTGTTCATGTACCTGTGACTTTTGGAAAAGTACATCTTGAAATACAAATAAATACCAAGTGGTAAGCTGTGTCTTACTGCAGAGGTTTTCTCTAGTGAAAATGAAAGAAATAGCTGTAATATGTATCCTTTCCTTTCTGGATACAGCTTTTGACACTAAAATGAGGAAAACTGGATTCATCTTTGTTTTGTTTTGTTTTTTTGTTTTGTTTTTTTTCTTTCCAAGCTCCAAAATCTCCTTCAGAAAAGACTCGGTATGATACATCACTTGGCCTTCTTACAAAGAAGTTCATTCAGTTGCTGAGCCAATCTCCTGATGGGGTCTTAGATTTGAACAGAGCAGCAGAGGTCCTCAAGGTGCAAAAAAGGAGGATTTACGATATCACCAATGTACTGGAAGGCATCCATCTCATTAAGAAAAAATCCAAAAACAACATTCAGTGGATGTGAGTAGTCATTATCCTTTTCATTCCTGCTGGCTGATTTCACTGTCACAGAGCAGCGATGTTTTTCTTCTCCCAGCTTCCATTCTATCACTTTGGTCCAAGCAATCAACCAAAATGCCTTCCATCAGAATAAAGCTTTCTTTTTCTGTTAGGACAGGTTTTCAGTGTATAAGTAGGGAATGTCAGGGAAATTGGAAAACAGCATTTTGTCTGAATACTGCTTTAACTCATTTGTATCTGGAAGCAGAGTTTAGTTTTTAGGTGCATAGCTCTGCCTACTGCCTTCCTCCATCTTTTTCAAGGTGTTAGAGGACAGGGGAGCTAGAAGCAAGATTTTGGAAGTGCTGAGAGATATTTGACTTTTCTATCTTGATGGCAGTCCTAAAATGTGTTGTCATGATCAGAAGATGCTTTCTCTGGAAAGCGTAGTTTATGGCTGACTTGCTGTGGGTGAGTTTAGGGAGAACTTGATCTGCAGCATAAAACTTTGCCTCTTCCCTTTCCTACAGCATAGGGTGAAGTTTGACAAGTGCTGAAAGGGTGTTTTCCTCCTTTTGTATCTGTAGGGGCTGCAGTCTGTCCGAGGATGGCGGCATGCTGGCACAACGTCAGGGCCTCGCCAAGGAGGTGACTGAACTGACTCAGGAAGAGAAGAAACTGGATGAGCTAATCCAAAGCTGCACCCTGGACCTCAAGTTGCTAACGGAGGACTCAGAGAATCAAAGATATCCTTTTTCCCAAAACCTCAGAGGTGGTCATTCTCCTTGCTGTGCCCTGTAACACGAGGAGAATTCCTCTACGTAATGTGATGCAAAGCATCAGAAATTTCAGGTTGGCTAATGGGTTTTAATTTAGCTCTCTATAAAAGTTACTTAAGCTGAGTGCACCTGTAAAGCTTCTGGAATGTCAAAAGAAAGGTAGTATGTGGAGGAGCCTATTAATATCTGTGTTCACACAGAGAATCTAGCAGGTTGGTGGCAGCCAACAACCCTCTGCTTTTCAGCTACTCTCAGCCTAGAGAAAACCTTGTTTTTATGTGTGCAGAAATTAGAAAGGCATGCAGACAATATCTTTGCTAAGGTAACAGAGTTGTGTGTATGCTCATGACCCAAATTTTGATTTTTTTTTTTTTAGTTTAAATTGATATGCATATATATTACAGGCACAGAGAGGAAAAAGTTGGAGTCAGTTTAGTCTGAAACTTGCAACAAATTTTCAGATTCCTCTGGTGAGAGAATCTATAAAATAATATTGTAGGTAAAGGTTTTACGAGCTCTCAAACGTCTATTTTGGACTGAATTATTCAATAGCAATTCTGAATTGCATAAGGTTCATCTGACTTGTAGTATTTTGGCTGTTAATACACCTTGTAATTAACAAATTCTCATTTTCACTAGATTGCCCACCAATTAGCAGCAGAAGAAAACATTTTATTAAATGCTGGTCTGAAAACTTTATTGGTTTCTGTGAGTAGTCCTTAAAGAGCATCTAATAAAGTAGACTTATTTCCTATTATTCAGAGTAGAGAATAACTATGAGATGGCCAGTAAGAAGTATATGAGCTCTATAAATATTGTCTTTTGACCAGCTTTCATACACACTTTGAGATGTAAGCAAAGATCAGAAGTGGCACAGGGAGCAGGGTCAGCGCTGCCTTCAGCCAAGAGCTTGATCCATGAAGAGATCTAAGCAAGACAACACTGATCCTTCTAACTCTGTTTTTCCAGAGCCCTTTCCTGTGGTAGGGATCCGTGCCCTGCCATTGCTGGCTCTCATGGTGGGAGTGAGACCATCTCATGATGGGCAAGGAGGGATCAGCATTGTTGTGGTTTTGGCCTCACCCTTTTTGGGTTTGGGAGAGCGTATTCCCCAATCCTTCTGTGACTCTTGATTGGACTGCTAATAGCAGTGATTACTGAGGAAGGGATGTGGAAGTGTGAAACCTGGGTAGGAATCTGAGTATGTACCAGTGCTGTCTTTCACGGCCCTCACTGCAGTGTGACATGAGATGACCTGCTGAATTCTCACCCAGCTGAGAAGCCTCTTCCTCTCCTTTATCACTGGAAGTGAACCTTTTGAAAGTTTGTTTTCCCTCACAATTAGGTAGTGTGCTTCTGTGTCTCCCTTATAAACAATCAGCATGTAACTATTTGGGTAGGTTGAATGTTTTGGGATATGCTCAGGGTTAACCTGGGGAGCTTTTAAGTCTGTTTTAGTGGAAAGCTGTGCAGTCTTTTCTTTTGTTCATATAGTGACAGCCGCTGTTGCTGTAATTTGCCCTCTGCCTTTGCAGACCTTACTAAATGAGTGGTGAAAGCCTTGATAAAAGCCATTTGGGAGAAAGCTAACCTGTCATTTTGCCTCTTGACCCATTTGTTCCAAGTTTGATGTGAATGTGTTGGTGTGCAGAGCTTGGGCAGTCTGTCCTGCTGTACTGCATGGTGACAGTACACAGTTACCAAAATTGCTCACTTTTACATCCCTAAAAACTGTAATAGTAAGGGAGGTTTTTATTCCAATGGTGTAAAAATTATGCTGAATTCCTTATGGATGACAAAACAAAAGAGCTGGAAGCCCTTGCATGTGATCGTGCCCATTTCACAGTTCTTTTTGTAACCAAAAGCACTGTGACAGCTCACTTACACGGGTCAGTACCTGAGGCACCACTGTGCAGTAACCCACTGAAACAGCTCTGTTGATTTGGACAAATTCATGTTGAATGAGAAAATATTTGTATTCATTCCATGCTTGTGCAGAAATCGACCTTCTGCACTGTAAAGTTGTTTAAGTAGTTGTAAATAGGCTTTGGAAATAATTTTATAGAATATAAATATATGAATGTTGTATAAATGCTTATGGGTGTGCAAACATTCCTACAACATTTATATTAAAAAGTCACATGAAAAATGGCACTTATATTAAAAAGTCAGATGGAAACTAAAATTAAGAATTTGATGACTTACGAAATATAGTGTATATACTCATCTGTAAATTCCTTTACATTTTTTTCTGTGATTTACAATTCTCTACATTTTGATAGCAAGTGTGTCCAAAAAAAAAAATATTGGTTTGCACAGTCTGAGTGATTTCAGGTTGTTGAACTTTAGCCGATGTGGTTTTATGTGTGTAAATGAGAAGAGAGAAGCACTCAGCAGGGAGAATCCCTTTCATCACTTGGTGGTGGCTTCAGCTGGTAGAAGAGAAGATCTCACACAGTTTCACTGCAATCACAACCAGTGCAAAGAACGGAAAACTTTGGGCTAAGAGCAACACAGCCATGAGAAAACAGAATAACTATTCAAAGACTTATGCCTCTTGTAGTAGTCTGAATATATTGTGAACCTGGGTTGGAAAATTCCTTAACAGTGATTACATTAGCTTACGTGACATATCAAGATATTAGAAAAATTAGTGGCCTTAAAGACCAAACTGTTATAGTTGTGAAAGCTCCTCCAGAAACAAGACTTGAAGTGCCTGACCCAGTGGAGGTAAGGAGAACCTGGTGCTTCCTGCCAGGGTTTGTATCATTTTTCTGTAGATGGAGCACTGTGGTAACTGGGGCCCAAACTGGATTATGTTGGCATATGGTCCTACGTTCATCTGTCTTACAAACTGTGGAGGTTTTTAACCTGTCATCTTCTTTCAAAAAACAAATCAATGTACACAAGGCAACATTATTTGTTCTTTTTCTCTCAACCTCAGCTTTCCTTCAGTGTCATCTACAGAATTTATGAAGACATACCTTTTCATGTATGATTTTCATTTCTGAAGTATTGCAGTTATTGTAGAAACATGTGTTTTACCCACAGAAGTCATCATTCTGGCTTTACTGACTCTGGTTTTGCACATCTGTATAAAGCTTTGTATGTTCTGCTAGTGCATGTTTGGTTTGCTGTCGTGAAGTCTGTAGGGGATGGGGATTTCCTTTCCCATTTTATTGTGAGTACTTCTGTTTCTGAAACTGTGTTCCTCTGTGGCCCTCTTCTCTTGCCCATTGCTACTCAGGCCACAGTCCCTCTCTCTCTCTGCTGGCTTTTGTATATCTGGCTCTTATTCTTTTGTCCTCGTTTTCTTTTCCTTATCTCAGGCAGATGTCTAGGGTGACTTAGCTGCTTCCCTTACTTATGTCACAACTGCAGAGAAAAATGCTTCAGGTGGCTTCTCTTTGAAGATAACTTCAGGGGTAGCTTTACTTTCTTCATTCCTGTCATGGTTTATGAATGGCATGGTTCAGCCGCTCCTGGGATTTTTTTTTTCTCTTGGTGGCAAAAGTTTGCTGCTTTACAATTCCTAGATGTTGGGACAGACCCAAGCATCCTGGGCAAATAGAAATAATTTGCATTACTTTAATTTGCTGTAGAGATTCAGGAATTGTACCTAATTTCTTAAGGAGCAATGGGAGATAAGGCTAACTCCTGCACGTGGAGTTGTGTTCATACCTCTGCTTTACTCCTTCATCCCTGCCGTTGAGTGGGTTCCAGTGAGCCCAGGGCTACCTGCTGCCAAGTGGGGAGGAACAGATGCTGGATTCTCTGTTACTTCTTTTCCTAAGATTATTCTTCACTTGCTTGGACCCATTATGATTTCCATCCTTTTTTTCTGCCTTTGTCCTTAGTTCTGCCTCAGTCCTTTGAACCTAGGTGCAAGTTTTGGAAGAAGAAATCATTTTGCTGCAATGAGGAAAGGATATCTTTGATCAGTACCTGTAAATACATACTCTTATCACTGCTTGATTTCCTCTTTCTTTCCCCTGGGCGTTATGCTTTGATCTTTAACTCAGTGAAGTCAGGTGGGTAGAGGGAGATGCACAACATTACAGTTAGGACTTAGACCTCCCTTATCCCCTATGCCAAACTTACCCATTTCATTTTCAGTGTCAGGCAGGAACGTCCTATTTCATTCTCTCCTGTACAGTTACATTTCACTTGTCTTTCTTTGCACACCTCAGTCACCCAACACTACCTCTTCCAACTCCTGCTCTTCCCATCTCCTTTTTTCTAATTATCTATAGCATTGCCTTAATTACTCTTAACTGTTTTCTCTGCCCCGGGGAAGCCTTGTTCAGTTGTTCTCTGCCTTTGTAAGTTGTCTGTTATGTTTTATAACTGTCAGAACACAATAAGAGGAACTTTATGTCAAAGGGCACAAGTTTGCCAAGAGTAATGCCTGTATTGGTGCTTTTTAAAACTAATAATGTAGTATAGCTGGAGCAGGTTTATTTGTAACCAGAGTCATTTATTTTCCATCATAACACAAAAAGCAACTTTGCAGATTTTGTGTCCACCTATGTCATCATCTTTCATGCGCTGATGCAATAAAACTTAAGAAAATGTAACTTCTTGGGACAAATTAGGACTTCCTCTTATTCAGAACCGCCATCAAAACTGCTGCCCTGAGGGGGCAGAAGGACTGGCATGAACAAGTTTGGGTGAAGAAAATGGCATCTTTTTCTTGTTGTTTGGAAAAGCTTCCCTGATTAACAGGTGAACTTAGATATAGCTTTCTGAGTTCAGTGTGACTAAGTGCTGAAGGTTTTTGAGGGAGTGGGAAAGATGCTTTGTCATTCTTTTAAAGCAGAAAGACTCACATCAAATAATATTGTTGTGAATAATAAACCTGTGACTCCAATCCCATAGTTCCATTTCATCAGAATGCTCCAGGTTATTGTGGTTGTAAGAAAACGTTAGGAGTTCAATCCTTTTGGTTATGATAGAACACATAAAATGATGGGCTTCTGGGATAGGGGCATACAACAGTGGGGGGGAAAAAGCTTTTATGTTCTTTTCCAGTCTACAAGATACCCAAGCCTTTCATGTCTTCAGAAAAGTGCAGGGGGGATTTCTGGTTCTCTTGATTAGTAAAAAATGTCTTCAAACACACTGCAGTAAGCATTTACTCCATATAATCAATATTCTGTTGTGTTCATTGGTGTGACACCTTCCTTTTGTTTGTTTTGTTAGCAGAGTGCATTGATACATTTGTCTAGTACTCAAGGACCTATTGAAGTTTATCTGTGCCCAGAGGAAAACGATGCCCTCAGTCCAATGAAAACCTACAGTCAGGACCACAACGGGAACATTTCCAAAACCATTTCCAAAGGTAAGGGGTTTTTTCATTGTAAAATTAATGGTCTACCTTCATGCTCTCAATCAGGATTTCATTCTGAACCTCAGATATCCAGCCCTTAGTTTCTGGCTTTATTTTTCCAGGGAGGGAAAAGCTAAGGCATCAATTTTCCTCTGTGCCTTTCCTGGTTAATGTAGCAGAGAATATTTTCCTCTGCATCAATTGTTTAAAATCTCCTATTTGCATTATCATATGTAACCAAAGTTCATGCAGTGCTGAAGACAGTAAGTTTTGTTTCTTCTGCCTTTTCAAACAGGACAATAGCAGCAAAAATCTCACTCAGCACGAAGCAGAAATCTCTGTAAATGGGCAGTGTCACTGATGACATCTGTTGCCTGGACAGTTGTCATTTTGACTGAATTCCACTGAAAAATGGGCATCCCTCACTACACTTGATTTATGTTTTTTATTTTTCCCAGTAGTTGTTTAGACCTTGTATAATAATATTTGTAGTAGAAAAGTCAGTGGTGATAGCAATGTGCATTTCTGAGAAGCTGTTTGTAACATATCAAAAACAAGCTAGAAAATCAGATGAAGGCCATTTTTCGTTGAAATGATGCTTTTCAAAAATGTCTTTTATGCAGTGGCTACTTTTGTTTAATCTGCATCTTAATATTTCTATTGAGATTGTGTGTCATCTTTATTTTATTCTCTCCCGCTTACAGAAGTGGCTTCTGCTAACTCAGGACAAGGTGACTGCTCAGTAAATATGGCAACAATCTCTCCACTGGCTTCTCCAGCCAACCTTCTACAGCAGACCGAGGACCAAATTCCCTCAAACTTTGAAGGACCATTTGTGAATTTGCTGCCTCCTCTGCTTCAGGAAGATTATTTGCTGAGCCTTGGGGATGAAGAAGGCATCAGTGACCTCTTTGATGCTTATGATTTAGAGAAGCTTCCTTCATTGGTGGATGAATTTATATACAGCTGATTCTCTTAAACGCTGTCCATATCTAAACCATGTTTTTAATGGAATCCAAAAACCTGCCATCATTCAGAGTCGTTCCTTACTTACTATGAAATAGCATTATTAAATAAACTAGGCTCTCAAACAGTGCTGAGATTTTAATTAAGTACTCCCTAAAATACTAGAAACAAGAAGTGAAGGCTTTTTTCCAGCAAGGCCTTCTCCTTGACCTTGAGCTCCAGCGCCTTGTGAGTCAGCAAGTGCAAGCAGGTGACCAGAAATGTTTTGTGTTCACACTCCCCCAGTCTCTGCTTACTGTGACAAGTGGGCTTATGGAGAAGGGCTCAATGAACTGGTTTAGTCCTAAATAACAATTTTATAATAGCATTTCAGGCCGTGCCTTCTGCAGAGAATGCATGTCTTCTGAGTGTCACAACACGGATTGTACCTGCAGTGAACAGAAATATGAAGTAATGCAAAAGTGTGAAATGGGATTTTTTTTTCAGCTACTTGTGGGAATGTTTAAATTGCTGTCATAATGCTCATTTTGAGCTGTGTATGTGTCTCATTATGAGGTCAAATACTTATGTCCTTAAAAGCTTTTAATAAAAACACAAATACACTGTAAATGTAGTGTATATTGCAAATATTGAAAAGTATAAAGTTCTGCCACTTCTCGTCGTAATCACAGATTTTTAAAAATGCTTGTGTGTGTGTGTGTGAAAGTAGGTTTTATTGGTTGGTTTTTTTTTTAAACTAGGACGAAGATGCACAGTTCAATTTTACTGCCCCAGGTGTGCATTAGAACTGGTACATGAATTTTTTTGTGGTACTAAGTGGGGCTTTGTGTTAAGTGCCTACTAGAGATGCACTGTGGGTTTTTCCCTCTATGGAAAACACTTATGCCAAGCTTTGTTTGTTCAATATATGATATTTATCTCAGTGGGTTAGCTTCCTCTGCTTACAGCTTTTTATAATTCTCTTCGCCAGCAAAATGGAACTAATTTTTTTTTCCAAAGTACATAACTGTAAGTACCACATCAACTGAATTGCATTTATTCTTTTGAAGATCTTTGGTAGTATAGTATAGTACCAATATTTATTTTTTTGAACATGAGAGGAATTCTAAGAAGTCTTAATTTTTTTTTTTTGAGTGTAAAATATGTTGCCATGTTCTGGGCTAAATTAATGTCATGTTGATTAGGTGATGCCCATATAAACTTTTTTTTTGTGTTACTGTTGTGCTTACCTGACCTACTCAGAAAATTAGTACTATTTGTACTGTAGTGGAATATTCTGTTTTCTGGTACCGTTGAGTTGCTGCTATGAAAGCTCACACACGAAAAGGCAAAAAGTCACAGTACTAATGAGAGAACTGTATGACTGTGTGAGTTTTGGAATATAACAGATGTATAAAGGGCAACACGTAAAGAACTGTTAAACAGTGTTAAGTGTGTGTTTATATGTACAAATGTGTGCATAGATCATTCAGCAGGTTGTATTTAAGTTGATGTATGTTCTCAACTCACACTTTAGTTACCTAGCAGTTTTGTACAATAGAATTAATTTGTAAACACTGCCAGAATATTTTCTAGCTGGTTTGTAATTTTTTAAAGAGTTTTTTTAGATGTGGATCTGTAAATAAAATTGTAGTATTTAAAGTTTTCGTCTTGTGGAAGAGGAAAGTAAAAGTTGTGTGAGCATGAAGATTTGCCAGACAAAGGGGCACTTTTGCAGGGGAAGAGAAAATGAATACTAAAAGCAGGCCATCTTCTTTTGTACAAATTAAACACTTGTCCCAATGTGTGTGGGCGAAATACTAACCTAATTTAGCTTTGCATTGTATGCTAGTTTAAAAAAAAAAAAAAAAAAGCTCTGTAAAATACTGTAAAAAAAGAAAAAAAAAAAAGAAAAAAAAAGCTTTTATGGTGAGTTTTGTAAATAGATTTATTAAAGGATGACCTGTTCTCTAGCTGTGATCTTACCACTTCAAATGGATGTAATTTGAATAAATTTTGTATGGTAATGAATCAATAAAAAGGATTTTTTAAAGACTTTAGATTTGTATACAGGTATTTAAACTCTTCTTACTCTTGGTACCTAGCATGCTGCTGCTTGGAACCTTGCTCTTACTATTTTCATTATTAGTGCTCACACTCATGTTTTAATCCCAGTTTTTTTCACCATGCTAACAGTAAGTTCACCTTTTTGTGAAGTCAGAGTGAAACAAGAATAAAACACAGAGAAAGAGATGTAGTAGGAGATCCAGAGGTTAGGATAACATGTAGGTTTATTTTTATTTATCCCCTCATATGAATTATGAAGAGGGATAAAATTCATAAAATTGAGTTATTATATCACATGAAAGCCCTTGCTGAGGATCCTTATCCTCTCTCTATCATGCTCAAAAGTAGGACCTT